TCTCTGGAAAGGATCAGTGACTGTTAAAATAAAAATGTAATAAAATGTGAAGATAATCTTTACATTAAAAATTCCTTCAAAAAATTAAACCAAAATAAAACAATCCTTTCTCACAGTGCTCCTATGACTCACTTTCTAATTGACTTCTGCTTCGCGATGACGTGGTGGTGACCACAAGAGCGTCACTCCTCTCAGTGTAAAGGGGTCATGTCAGTGAGGAATCTTCAGAAATGGTCGAGGCCTTAAAAATAACCTATTCCAACTTCACAGCTAGCACCTGGGCAGATCCGACTATAAATTCCTGTTTCAAGAAGGTAAAACCAGAAAGCTCCAATGGAGTCCCTTTCCCCCTCCCTCCGCTGATTACTGCCAACACTGTCACATTCCACCACCCCTGACCTGCCACTGGGTGATGTAATGAGGGCCAGGTACACCATGACACTGTTGAAGAAAGAGGGACACAAAAGCCATCTGTATTATAGGTGAGCTACTTCTATTAAAAATGCAGATAATCCACTTAAATAATTTAAAATGCTTCCTTCATAAATGATACTCAACATGCAACCTTTGAAAATATGTCAATAAACAAGATAATCTAGTTGCTACCTTCAAGGACCAGCCTAAGAGTCTCATGTACTCAATATTTTGAAATCTCAAGGTGAAAAGTATAAAACTTACAACCTATTATCCAGCTTATCTGAACTGTTCCTAGGGTTTTTTTTTAAAATCATGAATGTTTAAAACACAGTCCTTATCTTTTAGAAAGATACACTGAAATATTTATGGATAAAATGATACGTCAGGTATGTGCTTCAAAAGTCACCTGGGGTGGGGTGTTTACAGATGAACCAAGACTGGTGAACCTGAGTGAAGAAGGCCTGGGAACTGGGAGGCGCTTCACTCCACCATTCTCTCCACTTGTGAATGTTCAAGACTTTCCATTTTAAAAGCTAAAAGTGTTCAGTACAAGGTAGAATTCTTCACTTTTTGCTCAGCTACTGCACTATCAGAGAATGTTTCTTCCCATTGCTCCTCTATAATGTACTCCAACATCAGACTTGGAAAACGCACTCCCGAGCAGTAATAAAGGCTAGCAAAGCTCACAGACACAACAGTCCATCTTTCGTTACCCTATAAATTATCTGCTCCAAAACAAGAGCTCTCCTCCACCACCTCAGGAAGTTCATCAAAGTCCAGGTACTCAGATCGCGGCCAGCTCTGCTTCTTCCTGAACATTCTGGGTGAGCAGACAGAGGGGGCGACGCCACAGATCGCCCTAGATTCGCCCATCCCCACCAAGCCCTGAGTGCCCCCAAATTTTAAATTCCACTAGGAGTCATCAGAGCGGACATCTGACTATTTCTACTTTGTGACTACAGAAAAGGTCGGCCCCAAAGAGCAACCCAAAGTTTTCTGTAATGTGATCAATAAAGACAGTCACAACAAAAGGCATTTTGTCCTATGAATCAAATGAAAAGGAGTTTATGGAAGTCAATGAGATGAAACTTTGTGGAAATATTCTGAGCCACCAAATTTAAGAAGTTGAGAGCCATCTTAAGTTCAGGAGCCAAAAGACCCAGTTCTAGTCCCTGTTCTAGTGATGACGATGGGTGAGGAAAGTCATTTAACTGCTGGGCTTCCATTTCCTCACCTGCCAAGTGAGGTGAGTCCTGCTTGCCTACTACCACCTCAGACAAAGGAGGGGATCGGTCAATGAAAATCTAAGTGAGCCTTACATGAGCCGTAATTTATTCTATCAGAGTCGGGTTATAGTAAAGAGCAAATGTGGTACTTCCCTAAAATCTTTGCTTGACTCAGGAAGGTCATGTTTAGAGAGAAGGCACCACTGGGACGACCACAGCCAAGGAGCTCTCTGGCCGGTGGCAGCAGGGAAAAGCATGCTGTCTGGACCAGCAGTCACAGCCCTCGGTACCCAGACGGGAAACTCAGTCTTGTATCTCTGCCCCTCAGACTAAGAAACTGGATACCCACCCAGGTTCTAAACACAAGCATCACGCTGACCTGAACGCCAACACTCAGGACGCCCACGGGGACGTGCACATCCTCCTAGGCTGAAAACTCAACAAGAAGCCGACTCAGAGGACTCTGAGCACTCGGGGGGCACATGGATCCCTTACAAAGGTTCCTAATGTTATGACAGGCATTTTATGTCTTTTCTATGAGACCTCTGGGCCTACGCGTGCATACGCACTGGAACACCCACCTAGCGAATGTCTGCAAGTGTGAGAAGTCAATAAAACGCGAACTAGCAGGTCAGCGTTTCGGGGACTTCCTACAACTCGGTAAAGCACTTGAGTGTGAACCCCAGTATGAGTTGTCTACCGGCTTACTAGCAAGACACACACAGCCCTGCTGTCTCCACCTAAAAGCTCCGAAGTGCTGAGGTTGACGGGAAGGCCTGGATCTCGGGGCCCACCTTCTACCGGAGCAGCCCCGGCCCTGAGGCCGCGTGGAACCCCCGACACGCCGTGCACTCCCGCTGCCCCGGCCCCCTCTGGAGCCGAGGTGGCCCGCGGGAGCGCTGCTCTGGGCTGGCCCCCCTCCCTCCGGGGGCTCATTCCCCTCCCTTTCGCGCGCAAGGCCGGGCGGTGAGCATGTTCAGCTTTCACTGTCCCCCAAACAAGAGCTGGGTCTACACAGAACATCGGCCAGCCATGCACAGCGAGGTGACCGCTCAAGGCAGGCGTCTCCGCGCGATCTCAGGCGGGCGAACGCAGCCGGGCCTCCGCCATCCGCAGGGGCGAGTTCCTCAGACCGGCAGGCCCGGGGTCCCCGCTGGGAGCCGAGGGCCCTTCCTCACCTCGGGGCCCTTCCAGGGGCAGGCGGGGCAGGTCCGTGCGCCGGGAGCTCCCCTCGGTTCCGGGAAGGCCGGGCCAGCGGGCGCGGGGGGGCGGGCGCGGGGAGAGACTGCCCACCGGCGCGGCCCTCCGGAGAGGGGGCAGAGGGCTGCGCAAGGCCCACCAGACGGGGGCCCAAACGAGAAGGAATCGCGGCCGTCTCGCCGGCGCGCGGCTCGCGCGTTACCTGCTCCGCCCCGTAGGCCGTGGCGAACTGCGCGAAGTCCTCGGTGCGCACCCAGCCGTCCCCGTCGCGGTCCAGCGCCTCAAACACGGCCCGCAGGCGGGCGCCGTCCTCCGCACACCCCGCGGGCTCGCTCGCTACGGTGCGGGCCTGGCCCGAGTCCGAGGGCCCGGCCGCGGCCCCTGGACCCACCTCCAGCGCCAGCTCGCCCGCCGCGCGCGAGCGTAAGGAGGCCAAGAGGGCGACCTCGCGCCCTGCGCGGGGGCCGTGCCCGCAGCCCTGCTCGCCAGGGAGCCCACTCCCCGGGCACCCGGCGGGGACGCAGTCCTCTGGCTCCGGAGTCCAGCGCGGGAGCGGGCCGCGCTCGGGGGCCAGGCGCGCGGCTGGGCCAGGCAGGGGGTAGGACGCATCCGCGCCTCCCGAGGGGTCCGGCGGACAGAGCCCCGGGCGCGGGGCGGGCGCAGCTGGCCCGCCCGGCTCAGGGTCGGGGTCGGGGCGCGGGCCGCCTGCGGGGAAGGCCGCCCGGCCCGGCTCCATCTTCATGGGCGCGCCCCCGGCCGCGGCGCGGGCCCGCGAGGCCAGTGGTGCGGCGGGCGGCGCGGGCGGCAGACAAAGGCGCTCAGGGCGCGGCGGCGGGCGCGGGCATCCCCGCGGCGGCGCGAGCGGGCGCGCGCGGGGCGCCCGGGCTGCTCCGGGTGGCGCTCGGGCCCTGCTCCGCCCTCGCCCATCCTCGCGCCGCGCCTCAGCTGCCCTCGGCCCGGCAGCGCGGCGGGCGCGGGCCCATGGCGGCGGCGGGCGCGGACGGGCAGCGCGGGAGGAAGCCGAGGAGGAGACCGGCCGAGGACACCGCTGAGAAGTCCGCCGAGGGGGAACGCGAACGAGGATGAGGAGCCCGCGGTACCCGGGCCAACGCCGCCGCCCTGGCCCCGCCCTCCACCGGGACTGACGTCAGCGCGTCGCGGCGCCGCTCGGCCCCGCCCCTCGCCGGCTGGCTATAAAGTTAGACCCCCCAGGCACCGCGGGCCCGAGTGGGTGGGCTATTCTGCGGCCGTGTTTGGGGGCTTCCGGGCTGGATCCCCAGCCGGGGCGCGGGAAGTGAGTCTCCTAGGGGACTGCGGGCACCGGCGGGACAGCACCACCGGGACGCGCGGCGACTGCCGGCCCACGCGCGGTCCGGACGATGAACTGCGCGGGGACGAGCGAAACGCGCACCTGTCACCCGGGACCGAGTCGCACCCGCCTAAAGCGCCCTTACCGACTGATAAGCAAAGAGCACGATCCCACTGGGATGGCGCCCTCTGCGGACGCGCCCAGAGGGGCGCAGGGGGCGGTGCTGACCCCGCGGTCCCCTCCCGAGTGTGGGAGGGCCCTCGGAGCGCACTCTAGCTCACCTGTGACCGAAGGAACGCCGAGTCAGAGACCTTTTGGTAAACCGAGGACAAAGGTCTTTTTCATAGGATATCCAGTGTTAACATCTCTCTACGGCCAGGCCTCCCAAGCACTGTGACTGTCTTTGACGACTGACGTCTCTCTCTCTACACGTGTCACTATGCAGTGGGGACACAGGGCTCCAGATAGGAACATGGGCACCCTGCAAAAGGCATGAAAGTGGAGACATGCTAGTAGGACCGAGAGAGCTGCCAGGCCGCCAGCGAGGTGCTAAATTTAGCCGGTAATTAGTCGTCCGGGGAGGGGGCGGGGGGATGAACTGGTATTTTCATACGCAGTGGGTGCCAGCGCCAGATACGTTTCATAAGCAGTTTGGGCAAGAACCAAAGGAAACAACCTCTGGTTCCAAGTGTACAGTGAGGAGCGCTGTGTTAACTGAGTCACCTCCCATAACAAAATCCCAGGGCACACAGTGCCAGAGTTTGTGAGGTTGACATTGAGAGAAGAAAGGTGAGGGATCCCGCTCCCCAGACTCTGTTCTCAGTTTATGTTTGCATGAGGAAGACAAAGGGGAAAAAATCGTCTCCAGTTCTGGCAAGCACCTGAAATTGGGCTGATGCTCTGGCCAGACACCATTTCCAGAGGTAGTTACAGCGATGTGTCACTCTTCCTAAACAGGGGTGTTAACACGGGTGATGTAGAGGCCACAGCAGGCGGAAGGAGGCAGGTGCCCCTCCTGCTGCTGTGCCCGCGCCTGTAAACTCATTCCTTGGCTGGCTGGGTGCGCCCCGAGGGGAACCTGCGCATGGGCAGCAGTCACCGCCCTGCCTGGACCACCAGTTCAAGAGGCTCTGCTCGTGAAACATTAACAGTGAAAAGTTCCCTGTCAGCCATTCAGGCCTCACTCATCCCCTTGCGGCCTGTGGACATGTTCCCCTGTAACATCCCGACTGGGCTGATCCAGCTGCGTGGAAACAGCCCCTGCACTCCCTCCCCCACACCCACTCAGGGCCCCCTTCAAGTTCGCAGGGCAGCCATCAGAAGACGGCGGGGTGGGAGGCCGCTCACTCGGCCGGGTCTGGGGGGCTGTGAAAACTCCCTCCAGGAGTCGTTCCTTTCGAAAGATACTCAGGATGAACTCCTCCCTTTGGAGCTGTCCCAGCAGGTGAGGCTCCTTGATCCCTCTGCCCGGTGGTCTTTGGCCTGTGGGGAAAGGTGGAAATGTGGAAAGCAGCAAGGCGACCGACTCAGCAGGTTCCTGGCTGTGGGGCGCAGCCCTGTGGGTCAGAAAGCTTCCAAGGGGGGCGGGGGGCATGTCTCCCCAGGGTAGGGCCTCTCCATCACCTGGACAAGATCTGGCCGCCAACGGCGGGGAGAAGGACAGGCAAGGCGTGATTTGATTACAAATCTATTTTTTAAAGGTGCATTTAAAAAAACAAGGAAAGACACTAAAATTATAGTAGACACAACATTTGATTTCCCCCATTTTTGCTAGTCCAATGAAGTTCAGATGGCATCTCATCTTGTCTTACTCGAACTTAATTGAATGCTACAGTGGCTGAGCTTTTCTTACCATGTTTACTAACCAACTGGGATCTCACATCTGCAAACTGCCCAGTTGTAGCAACAGCTTGTTTTTCTGTTGGGTTCTCTTGTTCTTTAGATAAAATCCCTCATCAGTTTTAAATGTTGGAAATACCTTCTCCCTGCCTTGACCCCTCTGTAAATGCTGTCTCTGGGAAGGATTAAGCAGAAATCTTTAATTCTGAGTAGCCAGACACATCAATCATTTTTCTCCTTGGCTTTGCTAATCATAGGAAAAGGATGGACTATTCCTCACTGCCAGTTTTCTGTATAGAAACCTCACAACTACATCCCTATATCACATCAGATGCAAAATAATTACAGAGTAGTCAAGACATAAAGGTGGAAAATAAAACTTTAAAACTTTTTTTTTTGGTATAATTAACCTACAATTACATGACGAACATTATGTTTACTAGGCTCCCCCCTTCACCAAGTCACCCCCACAAACTCAATTACAGTCACTGTTCATCAGCGTAGTAAGAGGCTATAGAAGCACTATTTGTCCTCTCTGTGTTGCACAGCCCTCCCTGTGCCCCCACACATATTATACATGCTATTCATAAGGACCCCTTTCTTCCCCCCTTATCCCTCCCTTCCCACCCATCCTCCCCAGTCCCTTTCCCTTTGGTAACTGTTAGTCCATTCTTGGGTTCTATGTTTCTGCTGTTGTTTTGTTCCTTCAGTTTTTTCCTTGTTCTTATCCTCCACATATGAGTGAAATCATTTGGTATTTGTCTTTCTCTGCCTGGCTTATTTCACTGAGCATAATACCCTCTACCTCCATCCATGTTGTTGCAAATGGTAGGATTTGTTTTCTTCTTATGGCTGAAGAATATTCCACTGTGTATATGTACCACATCTTCTTTATCCATTCATCTACTGATGGACACTTGGGTTGCTTCCATTTCTTGGCTATTGTAAATAGTGCTGTGATAAACATGGGGGTGCACATGTCTTTTTGAAACCGGGCTGCTGCATTCTTATGGTAAATTACTAGAAGTGGAATTTCTGGGTCAAATGGTATTTCTATTTTGAGCTTTTTGAGGAACCTCCATACTGCTTTCCACAATGGTTGAACTAGTTTACATTCCCACCAGCAGTGTAGGAGGGTTCCCCTTTCTCCACATCCTTGCCAACATTTGTTGTTGTTTGTCTTTTGGCTGGCAGCGATCCTTACTGGTGTGAGGTGATATCTCACTGTGGTTTTAAATTGCATTTCTCTGATGATTAGCGATGTGGAGCATCTTTTCATGTGCCTGTTGGCCATCTGAATTTCGTCTTTGGAGAAGTGTCTGCTCAGCTCCTCTGTCCATTTTTTAATTGGATTTTTTGCTTTTTGTTTGTTGAGGTGCGTGAGCTCTTTAAATATTTTGGATGTCAACCCTTTATCGGATCTGTCATTTTTGAACATATTCTCAACTTTAAAACTTTTAAAGACGTCAGAAAATATATTTATGACTTTCAAGCAGGAAAATTTCTACACAAGAATCAAAACCACAGACCAGTAAAGAAGAGAATGGTTTAAATGTAAACATATAAAAATGTAAGCCCTCCAAAAGTATAGGGACACAAATCAGATCAGTGGGGGGCAGGGGGAGAGGGATTTGTTGGTGTGAAGAAACTGTTTTATGACTTGAGTTTAATGGCGGTTCCATAACTGTACATGCCTGTCAGAATCCACAGAACTGTACAGTCCAGAGGGTGAATTTTATATAAATTATACATTAGGAAAAAAATGTGTTTTTAAATTAACATTTTGTTTGACAAAAGACACATCGTAGATGTATTTTAGTGTCTTAGTCTGCTCTTGCTGCTTAACCAAATGCCATACACACTGGGCACCTTAAACAGGAGGCATTTCAGCATGGAAAAGACTAAGAACAACAAATGCTGGCGAGGATGTGGAGAAAGGGGAGCCCTCCTGCACTGCTGGTGGGAATGTCAGCTAGTTCAACCATTGTGGAAAGCAGTATGGAGGCTCCTCAGAAAACTAAAAGTAGAAATACCATTTGACCCTGGAATCCCACTCCTTGGAATATATACCCAAAGAATACAACTTCTCAGATTCAAAAAGACAGATGCACCCCTATGTTCATCGC